GGTCTACAGGGATGGTGGGGTCAGGGTGGCCTAGCAGGAGGCACAAGGCCAGCTCAGGAACTGGGACATCTGTGCCCCAGGGAACATGCTTGGATGCTCTGCAAGCTTTGCCATGTCTGCTCTCCCAGTTTTCTTCTCGTTAGCAGCTTTTTCCTCCCTTGTGACTTCTTTGAAGTAAACTGTTCAAGAGAGTGACTCACCTCTCAGTTCTTACTGAAAATACTCTCTGGAAATAGACCTCCGAGACCAAGAGTTAGACTTTGAAGGTGTGAGTGCTGAGGAAATCTCAAGATGATATTAGAATCCTCTTCTCTGAAAAAGTCAAAATATTATTTAAGCCCCCACCCCTCTTTCCCCCTTTCTTGGACTCCAGCACATATGGAGATGGCTGAGCTCCCAGAAAGCTGCTTACAATTAGTTTAGGACTTCTAGGAACCATTTCTCTGCCTCTTTCTGAAAAGTGAGGCTATTTGAGACCACCCTGGAGAGGAAACCTGGCAGACACCTCTCTCAGGAGTGTGAACACATCAGGTTTCTTCCTTCTCCTCTTCTCACCTCCTAAAGTGCCTCTGAGAGCTAGGTCAGGTGAGAGAGAACAGGGCATTAAAAAAAAATTCAGAACTCCTAAAAGGACCCTGTATAAAGATTTCAGGAGCATAGATGTATGTGGAGGCTCTGTGGGAGTGTAATTTAGGAAATATGCTAGTGACACATCTACAACATCACCACAAATAACAACAGCACCACAAATAAAATGACACCAAGCATTTATTAAAAGATGACTCCAAGGCAAATCCCATTTCTTCCATGCTTGACCTTGGTCAATATCCCACCTTTCCGAAGCTCCCAGCTGTCTCCTCTCCCAACATGAGTGGCTCCATTTAATTAGTCCTATTTCTTTTCTTTCTTTTTTCTTTTTTTTTGTACTTTTAGTAAACACAGGGTTTTACCATGTTGATGAGGCTGATCTTGAACTCCTGACCTTGTGATCCGCCTGCCTTGGCCTCCCAAAGTGCTGGGATTACAGGCATAAGCCACCGCATCCAGCCTAATTAACCCTATTTCTAAGGTGCTCTAAAGACAGGACAAGCCCTCCCCAGCCCACTGGTGCCTGTGCTTCCAGTATCCAGCAGGAAACTGACCCAGCAGGGCCTGCTCCTGGCAGGACTCCCCAGGCCTCTGCTGCTTAGGTTGCAGCTTTTCCACCCTGCCTGTGTGGATACCTGCCCCTCCCCAAGCCTGTGCCCAGGCCTGCACCAGAAGTAGGCAGCAGAGAACCTGTCCTGGGGAGTCCAGGAGGCAGGACCTCATGTGACCCAAGCCTCCAAGCCCTGACATATGCTCCACTGTTCCATAACATTTTATTTACAAAACACACATTCAAAGATAAAGTTATGAACAATTTTAAGACAGTAGTAGCTGAGCATTGTACCCTGAAGGTGGACTCCTCCTGAGTGTGGGGCCTGAGCAACTGCACTGGAGCCAGGATGCTGATTTGGATCCCCAGTTAATACTTTTCCTCTGTGTTTTAGATGATTGGAAATTTGGGTGAGGAGGACAAGGGAATAATCACCACCACCCTCCAAGAGCCCCCAACAATTCTATAAACTAGGTACTTGTATCACCTCTAATCTTCAGCTTTTGGGGGGAAGTGTTGTTATTGTCACTGTACAAAGGAGGAAATGGGCTCAGAGATTTAATTTGTTAAGGCCATAAGGCTATCAAGTGGCAGAACTAAAATTTAATCTAGTTTCTTCAGGCTCTTGTGCTGTTTCTACTCTATGCTTCCTCCTAAATACCAAACATTGAAGCCATCCAGTTTTTAGACAGGCCTTGCTGTGTGCCCAGCATAGTGGAGAAGATGTAGGTACTGCCCCTGAGGAGTCCGGATTTACAGAGGCAGTATCTTTGGTTTCCAGGTTTTATGTAACATGGGTACAGCTGAGTACGTCAAGCCATGTCTGTACTAGAGATTGTACCGTCCATGTCTTCCTGTCCGTGCCCACGTTTGTTCTAGGTAACCAGGTTCCTGCCCACTGCTCACAGGACCAGCTTTGTCTCAGGATACAGAGGCTCTATTGGCCAGTGGAGTTAAAAAGACATGAAGTCCTCCTATCAAGGAAGCCAGGAGCATGAATGAATGACCTCCACTTTTGTGGTACAGAAACCAAGTCTTGCAGAAAAAGTGGAACAGACAAATAGAGGGAAGCCAAGAAAGAGCTGAACAGAGGAAATGCCTTTTAAGTTTTCTAAAGATAAGCCTTGATTTTACTTGAGTTGCTATGACTGAGTTTCTAATCCTAGTGACCAGGAAATGCCTGTCTGGGCCATACCTATGTCCCAACACAAGTTCTGAGGGGTCAGGGAGCCTCTTAATTCAGAATCAATCTTTATGACAGAACAAAACAATAGGCTTTTGAACTTTTACACAGCCTCTGCTAAATGCTACTAGATATAGGTGAATAGACATGCATGAAGTTTACTATGTGCCTGCCAGATATTTAAACCTTGTTATTATTTAATCCTCACAAAACTCCCTCATGATTGTCCTATTACTATTGTTCCATAGGAGAGAAAACAGTCAGAAGGGCTCATTAACATAGAGAAGCAGTCAAGCAAAGCAGTAAACAGGATGGGCTTAGAATACAGTTCTAGGTTTCAATCTTGGCCCACCTCCCTTATGGGTTTATGACTTTGTTTTTAAACTTCTTACAAATGTCAGTTTCCTTGTCTCTAACATGGGGAAAAAAACGTCAGCTACCTAACAGGGAGTGGTGTCAATTAGATGAGTAAAGTACAAATGCAGTTGGTGAACATTCAATAAATCTTTCTTAGTTCTTTTTTTTTTTTGAGACCGAGTCTCACTCTGTCACACAGGCTGGAGTGCAGTGGCACCATCTCGGTTCAGTGCAACCTCTGCCTCCCGGGTTCAAGTGATTCTCTTGCCTCAGCCTCAGTTGCTGGGATTACAGGCACCAGTCACCACGCCTGGCTAATTTTTTTTTTGTATTTTTAGTAGAGATGGGGTTTTGCTATGTTGGCCAGGCTGGTCTCGAACTCCTGACCTCAAGTGATCTGCCCGCCTTGATCTCCCAAAGTGCTGGGGTTACAGACATGAGCCGCCACACCCAGTCAATAAATGTTAGTTCTAATAAAGCTTGAAGTGGCACAGCTAGGCTTCACACCAGGTCCTCTTGGCTTCAAAGACCTCTCTTTCCAATCAGCATCAGCTTATGAAGGGATAAGACAGATTCCACAACCACTCCAACAAGAGGTATTTTACAAGGAGGGTGCAAGGCAATTTAGCTAAGTATGCTGCTACTTGCGCTGTAAATCTGAAAGCTAACAACACATTTATGTATCTCCTGGGTCTGACTCAGGTTATAGGATGTTTTACATTGAGAAACCACAGGGAAAGGAAGAAAGAAATCAATGAAATCAGCTTTACTCTGATTCTTCCTAAACCGTTCAGGCTCAAATAGGGAATCTGGAACAAGTGGACCCTGGAGCAATAGTGCACCTCAGACCCTTGGCCCTTGAGATGCTAAAAAGAGCAATTTCAAGAACTACAGTTTTAGAAGTCTGATAATACCTATTACATCTATAAGCATATTTTTATGTAATTGTAAGGTGCTCATACATGATCCACCATGTATTAATCCTCAAGAAGTTACTTGGCTTGAGCTTCATTTTCCTCAACTCTGAGTAACAGAGCACTTCCTACCTAAGGTTGCTATGAAGATAACCAAAAATGAACGTAAATTCATTTTCTTTTAAAAATTTTTATTATTTTTGAGATGTAGTTTCACTCTTGTCACCCAGGCTGGAGTGCAGTGGCACGATCTCGGCTCACTGCAACCTCCGCCTCCTGGGTTCAAGCAATTCTCCTGCCTTAGCCTCCTGAGTAGCTGGGATTACAGGCGCCCGCCACCATGCCTGGCTAATTTTTGTATTTTTAGTAGAGACAGGGTTTCATCATATGTAAATTCACTTTCTAAGTTGTAAAGTTGGAGATAAAAAGGTTTTAATATTAAAAGCTTCTTAAAAACACTAGCTGAAGTATCCAAGTTTGTTTAGGAGCTCAGTTTGAAAAAATGTAGAACATAAATGTGGAATCCAGACCTGGGCTCCATTTCCAGCTCTACTCTGGACTCAGGATATAACCAATGTCCAAGCGTCCACTGGGAAAAGGGAACTTTCCATTTAATTAGGAAATAAGGTATTGAAAGACTTAAATGGGAACATATTATTTTGCTTTAAAATTTCTATCTTTAACCTTAGGAACCTCAGTATTTTTCATGGCTGAGGAAGCCCATGAATGGCTCTCTATCTATAAAAGGCTCAATTTCTAGTCTCAAATTTTCTATCGAAAGTTGCCTTCTGAAATCACAGCCTAGGTTCACAAAAACTTCATTTTCCAGAATTACTGCTTTTAGTACAGCCTAGCTCTTCCTCTCACTTCCCACAGATATATCCTCCAAGATAACAAAACATTATTTCCAAAGGTTTTATTTTATATATTGTTTGAAGCTTTCTCAGGCTTTGCACTAAGTGCATGTCAGTGTGCATACTCAATCTCTTTCAAAAGAAACATGGCGGTTGAGTATCCAGGAGAACACAAGTGAGTACCATATACTTTAAAAGAATGCTTATAGAGAGCTCTCCTCTTGGGCCATGAGAAAAAAACAAGTGCCTGCAGAAGTGAGTGATTCCCAGTGCTCTCCCAGACACACGCTTAGGGTGCTTACTGCGATGATACTCCTCCACACCAACATGTGGTCCAAAATGGAATCCCTCTCATCTTTCATTATACTCTTTTAAAAAATGTAGAGAAAATATTATGAATTAACTCATCTTAAATAAATGTGAGAGAAACAGGGAAAAGGGCAAGTTAATGCACAACCACAATACACAACGGTAATTTTTCTTTTCAAAAGAAATTATGGAATGTATTACTAGCAGTATAAATTCCAACAAAGTTGGGCACCCAGATTTGGTTATTTAGATTAAAAAATTTATTACAGGCAGGTTTGCTTTTCCCAAGAAAACGTATCACTGGAAACATCCGGAAAATGCAAATTGGGTTAAACCTATTCCCAAGTCCATTATCAAGTAAGGTGTCACTAAAGAAAAAGATAAGAGTTTAAAATTGGGGAAGCCCACACACGATTTAGACAGGGAAAAGAAAAAACTCATAAAAATAAGTCAGAATGATCCTTTACGTTTTACAGTCTTTAATTAAGCACATAAAACTGTACTACTTAATATATTTCTCCATGAACTTTTTGTGAAATTCAGATCGCAGTGTGTCATTTACAAATCTTTTGTCTTTCTTCTGGTCATCTACACCTTTTGCACAGTTCTTGAAGACAACATCATCATCCCACCTGAGGAAGAAAAAGCAAACAAAACGTCTTAAAATGTTTCTATCAGGTGACAAGAATACTACGTGCTCTGCAAGGCTTAGTCAGTTACACAGAAAGATGCTCAACGTGTGTATCATTTGATGCAGCAATTACACTCAAAAGTATAATGTCATCCTTAATACATAATCTTGCTTTCTTATAGCAAGAATGGCAATTCCTACTTAGAACATGTAAAACATTCTTACTATTTCTCCAGTAAAAGAAGCTTTTGAGTTAAAAAATAGAAATACATAGATTTTAATTGCATAAATATTTAATGTTTTTAGGTCTAATACAAAGAGGCAGCACCTAGGACTACCCTAATATTAGTATAGGCATTTGTAGATGATAGTAGCCAATCAATTTAATGTAGTTTAGATTATGTGGTTTTGAGGATTGTAGATATTCCTCTTTTATCAGTTAATGTTTAGTAATCATCTACTGTAATATTTGCATTATAGGCCAACAAAAGGAGAAGCAATCATTGGGGTATAATAATTAAGGCTCAGATATGGCACACAGGTATGTTAACCATGGAGAAGTACCAGCCGAAGAGCTCAGGGCAGAACTCTGGTTGGATTCCATAAGGTATAAGCGTGAAAAAAAAAAATCCGTAAGTTATAAAATACATGTGTTATAGAAAATAAAGAGCATGATTTCAGAATATCATCTCGCATATAAAACAGCTGCCCATATACATGATATAGATACCCTCACAAATATACATAAAACACAAACCCATATCATGTGTGTGTGTATGTGTGCATGAGCTTACATGCCAGGAGAAACTGCACATGGGAACAAATGTGGGAAACTGCACAACGAGCAACAAACGTGGGCACCTTTGGAAAATAGTGCAGTAAAGTCATCACTGATGCAGTATACAGAGAAGCATAAGAAGCTGAGCAGATCAATATGACTGGGATATAAGACATGTTTCTATCTCCAATTCCATTTGCATTCAAAAAAAGCAAAAAAACAAACTATATAGCTTTATTTTTATATATAATCAGTACAGTTTTTTCTGTATCCAGTCTTTCCTCGACTCCAAACAGGCTTTTCGTCCCTCCTTCCCAACACCAAAATGCTCTTTCCTGACATTAGTATTTGTCCTCGATGATCACTCCTCTCCTCCTGAAACACTTGGTTTCACTTCTTTCAGTTCTCCTCCCTTCCCAACTGGCTGCTCCTTGTCAGCCTAGACTTTTTCATTCAAAATTCATTCAATCAATATTTATCAGGCACCTGTATAATGTTTAGAGGTTGGGTAGATAATTAGAACAGGTATTGGTAACTAATCATCTACGTAACCTCTAAACATTATACTAAGCTCAGTTCTGACTTCTCCTCTCTAGCTATACCCTTCCCAAGGTGATTTCATCCTGTGTCATGGCTTTAAAAAGTTTATCTGAGCTGATAACTTCCAAATCTACTATCTCCAGCTTGGACTAATTCCAGAACTGTATCAGCGGTACTGCATTACTCCAGAGGGCAAAGCGGTCAGTAGTACTGCATCACTCCAGAGGGGAGGGCAGGTAGCAGTACTGCATCACTCTAGATGGCAAATAATAGCAGTAGAGGTGGTGAAAAATAACGAATATGGTTTAAAAGTTAAGCACTGTGTTTCCTTGATGAATGCATATAAAATAACAACCATTCTTCCTTCCCCAACATTTCCTATAAGCTTTTCTGTTTTATTTTACATATCACCATCTGAAGGATTTACAGTATTTATAATTTATACTTCCTCCCTTTTCAGCCCTCCTTTTTACCCCTCCAAACACACACACTGTACAGAAAGAATTTAAAAAGTAGGCCTGGGACCACAATCCTTAGAAATGCCTGCTTCCAAGGTTGGCCCCTGGCTGGCATTTGAAAATTTGTATTTAAGAAATCTCACTGTCACTGTGCCTACAATTTACAAATAATGTGGTTTATGCTGAACACCTACTATCCTTTTAAGAGTCTGGATTTTGCTATGTGCTAAGCAAAAGCTGCGTACATGACTAGCCACCCCCAGTAAAAACCCTGGGCATGGGATCTTTAATGGGCTTCCCTGGGCAGAAGCACTGCACACGTTGCTGCACTGGGGGAAACAATGTGCGTGTGACCACTCACGGAAGGGATAGAGCATAGTGAAACCTGCACGTGGATTCATCCATTCTCCGTGTGTGTCTTTTCCCTTTATAATCTAGCTGTGTGTCTTTATTACCTTAGCCAAGCATGTAACTATATGCCAAGTCCCCTGAGTTCTTCTAGTGAGTGTCTGAATGTGAGAGGCCATCTTGAGGACCCTTGATATGCACACCTAAAATGTAAGGGCCTCAGTTTATTACTCTGTCCCTAGTGCTTACATCATTATCTGGTACACAGCTGGTTATTGCAACTATCTACTGAAAATAAGTTAATTTTCTTTCATTTAGCTTCTTCCATTATTCCTAATTGAACAGAGAAGAGTATCAGTGAACGGACGGTGGACTTTTAGAAGCTTCATATAATGCACCTTGCTATCTAACTTATAATCTGCATGCCTGTGCATATAGATAGACACACACACACACACACTTCATTACACCATTACTGTATAGTACCTTCTTTTAACTTTGAAGTTGGCCTGAGGCTGCGATGGGCCAGTGAGATTAAGGAGAGGGTTTCCGCTCAGAATGTTTTCCATACGAATCCTCTCTTCTTCAGCTTTTTGTTCTTGTTCCTGTTAATGATAAAGGAAGATTAGTATTTACTTATTTTAACTCTGGGTTCAATTTTTTTTATATTAGCTCACTGAAAAAAAAAAAAACAGATCATTGGGATTTTACGGCAAGAAAAGCACCAAGGCAGGCTTTTTTTTTCTTTTTTTTGGTTTTTGAGGCATACTAGAAAAGTCTCCCTCATCAAAATAAAATAAGTTGGCATTTTTATTATAAATATTTCATGGTTGATATCAGTCTCTTCCAACTACGAAATGTTAGAGATTCATATTTAAATCTATTCTTTCTTGAAGTACATGTAAAATTAATAGCTTTAAATTTTAAGCGTATATCAATAAGCATATTCTAATAATTTAAGAACATATTAAATATCAAAAAGACACATTTAGCAAAACTATTACCTCAATTTTAAAGGGTCATACATAACTGTGATTTAATTTAATCTTATTTTGAATTACTAATAATGTAAACTTGAGTCTCTAGGTTTGGTGAGAAGTTATTAATGAAGAAAACTCCTAAAATAGGACAAACTACCATGTACAAAATTATATCCAGTTAACATGAATTTCTACTAATTTACCTGAGGCTGATCTATTTTGTTTTTATTGACTTAATATTATTGAGTTTCTTTTTTCTTTTTTTTTTCAGACGGAGTCTCGCTCTATTGCCTAGGCTGGAGTGCAGTGGCATGATCTCGGCTTACTGCAACCTACACCTCCCAGGTTCAAGTGATTCTCCCGCCTCAGCCTCTAGCATGCGCCACCATGCCTGGCTAATTTTTGTATTTTTAGTAGAGACGTCATTTCACCATGTTGACCAGGCTGGTCTCGAACTCCTGACCTCATGATCCATTCACCTCAGCCTCCCAAAGTGCTGAGATTACAGGCGTGAGCCACTGCGCCCGGCCTCAGTTTCTATTTTTATACCTCCCATCCTTTATCAGTTACAACACTGTCTTTCTTCACTTTTATTTTAGCATCAACTTCTTCAAAGTCAAATCATCCTGAGTTTCCTTCTCAGAATTTGGAATATAAAATGTCTAAAATCCTTAGCTATCACTTCTAGATCTACTTGTTAACATGCTATCTTAAGCTAAATATAAATCCTGTTTTCCTGTGTTTTGAGGATGACAGAAATCGATGACTTAATAGATCAAGGAAAAAGAGATGGTGTGGAAATCATTTTTTAAAAAGTTATTATTTTAATAACCTAATTTTTCATACAGATTACTGATATTCATTTCAATATTCAAATGTAAACAATGAATTTCATTTTTATGGAGAAAAATAAAAATGAAAATAGGAGGTAAGAAGATCTAACTTGTAAGGAAATAGGAAAATTCCTTTACATCACTGGTCAGAATTTAAATAAAATCAGGAACTATCCATCACAGATTAAGTACAAGTAGCTCTCTAAAAGCTATATATTTATTTGTAACAAATTATACTGATGCTTAAAGGGAAAAGATATTTCTCTGAAATACTAGAAAAATAGGAGCTTAGGTATACAATATATCCAAACTTATAATATAATGTGTATGACATATAAAGGTCATGGACATTTTATGTTTGGAATATTATTTCCTTTGGAGTTACTGAATGATTGTCACACACAGCCCTGGGAAAAAAGGCATAAACTCTTTCAATATTCAAACAGCAGGCATACTGTGTTTCATAATATAAGCTAGTTGTCAGATGGCATGTAGGTCAAATCCTAACTACCTGTTTTTGTAGATATTTTATTGGAACATTGCCACACTCATTCGTTTATGTACTCTGTGGATGTTTTTATGCTACAACAGTGGAGGTGAGTAGGTGCGACAGAGCCTCCATGACCAGCCAGCCTAAAATATTTACTACCTGGCCCTTTACAGAAAGTGTGCTGACCCCTGACAAGGGTTAAATGGTTTGAAAAATCTTAAATTAGGGGCGTGGCAAAAACCAGCCAATAGAAAGGGAAACAGGGCTAAAAGAAACTAAACTATCATTCAACTCCAAGAAATATCAACACGTTTTATTAGATGAAACTCACAAAACTGCAAGGCCTTCTGTCTAAAATGCTTATCGTCCCTCAAGGTCAACCAAAAGCATTTAAATTGCTCATCTCTTTATGTGTCCAGAACTATTAGGCAAGCTAAAAGAATTTGGAACAATTGCCCTCTAGTGGTATGCAAATGGGATTGGGAATGTTTTTATAATTCTTTGACTTAAAAACTACATGTAAAAACTATAAGCTATTATAGGAATTATGCTGTCTTATAATACAAAACTTTGATGAGAAGTATATTTTAAAATGCCTTCCTTCTTCCAATCTGAATTCTAAGTCATCAAAGTCCATCCCAAATTCTACCTCTTTTCTGAATTCTTCCCTGGCCCTCCTGATTCACATGAACTCACTTCCCTAGATTCCTGGTATTGACCATGTAGTATATTTTCTTACTTTCTTTTTTAAAAACAGAACAATTCTTGCATCAAATAAAATTTTACACAGAAATCTACAAAAAAGCTGTGCTGCTCTGGTTGAAAACATCCCTACCTGAATGTCTTATAATGTGTCAAATTCAGTATGTTCAAAACAGATCTCATCAACTACCTCTTCTCTGCATAAATATGGCAATTCTTTTGCATTCCCTGTATTGATGTACAGCACCAACATTTACCTACAAAGTGAGGGTCCTCTCTGCTGCCACAATCAATCAGTCACTTTGTCAACTCTACCTCCTTTATTTTTTATTTTTTCCTACTCCCCTTCCCACTTTGACCTCCTTGATAATCAGTTCTATCAGCATCTAATTACTTATCTTAATTCCAACTCCTATCATACAAGTTAAGAGTCTCTTAATTGGTAAGATTACTGAAACAGCCTCCTAACTCAGTTTTTTTCCAATCCATCCTGCATATTATTGCCAGAGTAATCTCTCTAAAATGCATATCCAATTTTATCAATCTCCTGCTTAAATCAACCAGCTCCTCATGTCCTTTAGAAAAAATCTAGACTCCTTCAGCATTGTTTTGCAAATCTCTAATGCTCTGACTTGTGCTTGCCTCCTCAGTTTCACCTCTTATTATCACTCTGGGTAATTCATTCAGAGTTTTAACTATCTTTGAGTTTTATATTTTTTCCTCATATTGTGTAAACGGAGAGACTGTGGGGGCTCAGCGAAGTTAGGTAGCTTGACCTAGGTTATATAATATCTACTGACTAATTGCCTTAATAGTACCTAGGCAGGAGACAGAGAGATAATCTTTGTAGACCATGACTATATCTTGATCATCTTTGATTCTCCTGTCAATTAACAGATATTGACTAAATGTTGAACAAATGAATAAACAAGTGAATGACTAGTAAGCTGGTGAATATTACTCAATGTATCTGAACTATTTGGAAAGAATTTTTAATATAACCAGGATACCTAGGATGTCACAAAAATAATAAGATTTATAGATCTACAAGTGCTATAATATTTAGACACGGTAAGGGAGATTTCTAATATAAGAAGGTATTACTTATATTCAAAAAAATTTCTACTTTAGTATATGTGAGAAGAGAGATGTAAATATTTAACACTTTGGTTTTACCTTCCTGGCCTGCTCCTCAGCTCTTTCCTTTTTAATTTTTTCCAGTTCTGCAAGAAGAGCTGCAGTATCATCATCATCACTTTCTTCTTCAAAATCTTCATCTTCTTCCTAAAAGAACAGTGAGAGCCCAGAAGATTGGAGGGAAAATATACATTACCAAAACACAGTACATACGTACAATGTATCACCCTAAGAAAGTCAAAACAATTTTATGTAGCTCAAAACAACTTTAAGCTAGCAAGTAAAGATAATCAAAAGTGCAAAAAACTGCTAATTTCTCAGAAGAAAATAATTTCAAATGAATAATCATTAAATTTCACTTGAAATTAGGTTTCTTGTTTTAACTATTATGAGTAACTCCATCATTTAACTCTAGAATTAACTGCTGATATGTATACACAGGTAGATATTACTCATTGGATGCCACTCAGGTTTTTCACTGTCCTGTATGTAGAAAACTGCAAACTGATTATAGGCTCTAGGGTCCCACAGAATTTTAACATTAACTGATGTGCTAATCCTTAAAAACCTTCTGCTTAGATTACTTCCCTCACTAAGCACAAAGGGAACCATTAAGTGTACTCCACTTATAGAAGGGGGCATATCTAATGTGGAAAGGCCTCCAGGTACAACTCTAGAGGGCACTGTTTATAGGAAACCCAGTGTGAAGAGTGCCCTGTAGAGGTGTGTAATACACCATAGTGCAGTAGTTTAGTACGGGACATTATTTTGCGGGAAAGCATGTCTTTTAAGATTCCTTCCATATTTGGTTCTCTAGAGACCAAACTTGTTCTTAAAAGTCCCACAAAATAATACTTTTTGTTTTAAAATCAACTATAAAGTTTAGCACTGAGGTCAGGGTTATATTTGAATAACAGCAAGCAAATATATGTCACTTCTTAAAGCCAAAGGCGTAACAAGTATTTCAGAAAAACATGGTAAATCAATTATTAGAGATGAAAGGAGAAAACAAAACATACATCTGTTAGAGGGTCATCTGCATCAAGGTTGGCAGCAGGAATCTGGTCTAACCGTGGCTTTTTTGACACTGAAGAGGAGGTTGTATGTTCTGAGGGGAAACAAAAATCACTTAACTTAGTAAAACAAATACTGCATTTCTTAAAATGTTTTAGGGAACTGTGGGCACAAGGAGCCCACATTGAAAGCATTATCCACAGTGAAATCACATCCACAGTGCCTGGGCAAATAAGCCTTTGGTAAATATTTGTTATTGTTATCTCTAATGACTTAAGAAAGTATTACAGCTCACATCAATCTGTAAAAGCAAACAAATGGTTAATATTTTCCAGTTGCTGCATAAAAGAAGAACTATCAACGACATAATTTTAGAGATAAATGTTTTGGATAGTGTTGGTACCTCGGGTTGGACGATCTCTGTTTTTCTCTCTTGCAGCAGCTCTCTCTCTTTCTTCCAACTCTCTCCTGAAGTCACGGTTACGAACCTCTTCAGGGGCATCCTGAGTAGTCTGTCTAAAGTAGAAACAAACCAGGGCAAAAATGTTACTTAAACACACACACACATACACACACACGACTGTGGTAATGGAAGACAATTCAGGAATGAGACTTTGTCCTTCAAGCATAAAAAATGGAAGTAGATAAGATCATAATCTAATCTGAAAGTTACTAACAGCCACTCTTGTGATATTCCCAACATTTCAAGAAGTCCAAATTCAATCACGCATTTTCCTATAATAAGGTGATTAAAATGTCACCTTTTACATTTACAGTGATTAAAATGTCTTTAATTTTTATTGGTATTATCAACTCAGAACTTAACAGTAATACTTTTAATATATTGACTGGTGCTGATAGTGCATAATCTCTCTGAGGCATTATTATTTCTGTTATTTATTGTTGTATCTACATACGAAAATTTCTGGTTAGTAGGAATTTTGCATTTTAAAACCACAGGGTAGAATTTTAGTGTTAAACATCCTATTGCATTCTAATCCTACGATAATAGATAAGTGACATAACTCGAACATACGACTATATCATGACCATGCCATTTAACAGACTTGGTCTTGTTTTGTGAACAAGAAAAAAAAGAAAGTCTTACTACCTATATTTTATCTTTGTGTGAGAGGGTAGGTCTCTGCTTGAATACTGCTTTGAAAGTTGGCTCAAATCACCTTCTCCTTTTCCCCTTCCACCTCTTGCAGGTTCAAAGGTTGGCCTGGCTGCTGTTGTCATCTTTTATGCTTTGAAGAAAAATATAATCAAGTTATTTACAACAATACAAACACTCATTTTACAGAGTATTAATATCCATACTAGTGAAATAAATTCTAAAACTCATTCCCCTAAACCTGCTTAATCTTCTTAAACAAAGTTTTCAGGAAAACAAAATTATGAGGCTTAGGCCGTAAAACGAATATGGCTTCTCAGGCTTGTCTTAGTACAAAAAATTCTGTCATGAAGATCTGAGTTTGCATCCCTATTCTCCTTCTGACTATATGGGCTTGAGCAAGTCACCTGGCTTAACTTTCTGTCATCTGTGGAATGGAGATATTCCTCATAGGATTACTATAAGAATTATGACACTTGACATGTCAAAAGCCTTGAAAAATACAGTACTACCATGACTAAGTTTTAAAAATTTCCAACTCAACCTTACTCTACCAGACTCTCTAAGGTTTGCATTTTATCTAAACTTCACACAATAGCAAATAGGCTAGTAGAAACAAAAGCTAAAAACAAACAAAAAATATCACTGACAAAGTTACTAGGTGTCTGAGAAAAAAGTTACTAAGGAAAGTGTGTTAAACTTCAATGACAGTTACATAGAAAAAAATTCTTAACCTTTTGTTGAGCCAATTTTCTCCTACAACAGGCATCATATTATAAATCAGATCGTTTGTGGGTTATAATTTAAGGACTGTTCAAAAAAAAAAAAAAAAAAAAAAAAAAACCGGAACCTCACCCCAGAGGATTCTGATAACAAAAATCAGGGACCCATTCCTTAAGTTACTTTCTGCTTGGAGCAGTCACAAGAATACTGTCTAGCAGACGCAGTCATTAAAACCCTGTTAGTGTCGGAAAAGCAAGTGTGTGGGGAGGGTGGGCGAACTGGGAGGATTTTTTTTGTGGGGGGAGTGCTTTCTCCTAATTTTCAAAAAGAGTAAGAGACATGTATACAAAGAAGAAACGGGGTTATCTGGAGCTGGGGGTCCACCCCTTCCCACACACTAACGGAATTATCACTCCGGTCTCTCGTGAGCTAGTCTTTGGCTATAACCAGAAACTCGTTGCCCCTTAACCCGTGCCCAGCGCTGCAGGGATGCGAGGGGTAGTGAAGGGAGGACCTGGGGTTCGCTTTACGCGGTAGGCGAGCTGCCTTTATGCTGCGATCTCCTCTGCGGGCCCGAGAGCTCCGGACGCGCCTGACAGGCACTCCGTTTCGCCCCTAGCCCGCTGCTCCAGGTCCTCTACCGCCCGCACTCTGCACTCTGCCGCCGACTCCGACCCCAACTGCCCTTTCCCGTCCCACCGGGATGAGGAAGATAACCTATCCTCCTGCCGCTCACACTGGCCGAGGTCCGATGCAGCAATCTGCGAAGATCATACAAACGCCATTACGACTCCGGGCTCCCAGAAACCTCTGCGCCCAGAGCTAGCGCCTACGACCCGGAAGCAAAATCCAAGCGCTTCGGAGGCGGAAGCAACGACCAATCCGCAGTGGCCGAAGTGGAAGTCGGCGTAACGGCACTAAGGGGCGGGGCCGAAACGGCCCAGGGGGCGGGCGTTTGAAATCAGTGCCTTAGAGTAGACCCTAAACATCATTTTATACCTTCAAGAACCAATTACTTAATGTCTCTTCCGTCTTTTCCGTCCCCGACCCCCTCCCAGACTCCTTCATTCCGGTACTGCGTGGACGGAAAGCCCCGGGTAGCCGACACCACGTCCCCGTCTAGCGGGAGAGAGCGTGGAAAAGGATTACACCAAACTGTTTAAATCCAACGACTCCTGCTTCCATCCTTTCTCCTGAGCTAGAACCAACAAACCTAGAGAGTTGGGCTTCGGAAAAACTAGTGTTTTCATTTAATTGGATATGAAGAAAGAACAAATATGTACGGGGCAACCACGATCTTTACAAAGGTACATTCCTGCAAAAATATTAACACTTCAAAGCAAAGGTTGTATTCGTAATGTTTGCTAAAATTTTTTATTTAAAAAACGTTAGTTTTAGTGGGAGGGGAGATGTCAATATTTACGACAGCGTTTAGAACGGTGGGCCCAGCTGCCAGGAGCACAAGATGTAATTACTAAAATGGCTACTTAAGTGTTAAGTTTTAATAAGACAACGAAAAGGAGAAAACCCAAAATCCAAAAACCTGCCAATCCTGTCTCCTCCCTTCTATAAAAAAAAATCCTGAGAACAGAGATCTTGATTGTTTAGCTCATCTTGGTATCTCATCACATAGACCTTGACATATAGTAGCTGCTCAATTAATATTTGTTAAACAAATGAAAATTCAACTTCCCCAACTTAGTTTAAAATGTAAGGAACTCACAAAGTTGAATATTTAAATGCTTTCTTACCCCTAAATTATTTGCAACTTTTAAATGAAGAAAGAAAAGCAGAAAAAGCCCTTTCACTCATAGAGTTCAAGATTAAAATCTTGATTTTTCTTACTAAAGGTATCCCTCCTCCAGTCTTACACGTCTCACTAAAGGACACGATCATCATACTGGTTACTCAAACCAAAATCCTAGAGTGCCTACTTAAATTCCTTTTCTTTCACTCTTCACATACGGTTCATTTACAGGTCTTACCAATTCTACTTTTAAAACTTACCCGAAATTTTATTCTACTGCCACTACCCTTGTCCTGGCCAACACCATCTCCTACCTGGATTGTAATTGTTTCCTATTGTATCTTCCTGCGTCATCTTTTATCTTACAGTCAATACTGCATATAGCCAAGAGAGTGATCTTTTAAAATTAATCAAATGGTGTTACTATCCTGTGTAAAATTTCACTGCACTTAGGATAAAAATCACATTTCTTAATGTGACCTGAGACGCCACAGAGTCTGGCTCCTGCCTAACTTCCAGACTTCACTTCCAATCAGTCACTCGCTTACACACTAAGCTCTAGACACAGCCAACTGGGCATTTCTGTTTTACGAAACAGGGCAAGATTCCTTCTATTTTAGGGCCTTTGCACTAGCTTTTCTCTGTTGCCTGTGCCCCAAGATAACTGTATCACCATCCTTCATGTCTCAGGTATCACAGTGAAGTTTTCCTACCCCCACCCCTCCAACACTTGTGTTTGTACACCATCATATCACCCAGTTTCATTTTTTCGTACCACTGAACATTACCAGAATCTAATCTATTCATTTTTTACTTCCGTGTTTCTTGTCTGAGAGACAGCATAGGAAAGTCATTAAGAGAAAAGGATTTTCAGCCTGCCCATTTTTGTTCTAAATTCCAATTCTGCCCTTTCCTAGCTCTAACCTTAGCAAGTCATTTTCCCTTTCTGTGCCCTCAATTTCCTCATCTGTAAAATGGGCGTAATTCTAGTACCTAACTTATAATACTAGTCTAAGGATTAAGTGAATTAATACTTGTAAAGTGCTTAGAACTGTCTCAGCAAATAGTACTTGCTAAATAAATGTTAGCTATTATGGTTATTAATATTATTTTTATTATTATTGTCTATCTTCCTATATTAGAACGTAAGTTCCAGGAAAGCAGGAACCTTGTCTCTCTTGTTCACTGGGTGTATCCTCTGCATATAGAACAGTGCCTGGCACATAATAGGTGCTGAGTAAGTATTTGTTGAATGAATGAATGAATGAATGAATGATGCACTATCAAGTAGAGGAATGAAGTAACAATGGTAAGATGGTAACACAATTATAGGAAATACCCACAGTTTTTATGTTCTAACTGTCCTCATTAGCCTGGAGTGAATCACCTTAATGGATTTAACTCCCAGCCCACTAACTCAATCTTTTGGTTGCCAGTGGTGATCAAATAACCACCCTATAATTTCATTAACACCAATATACAGTATAGTCAATCCACAAAATTAAAAGCTTTTGACTTAAATGGTCTGAAAGTGCTAATAAGAAAATGAAACTAAAGCTTTTGACTTAAATGGTTTGAAAGTATTAAGAAAAGGAAACTTAAGTTTACTAAAATCTTGAAATTCATCCAATCAGTTAACCTAGCTGGCAAAAATCTTATAACCTCCCAAGAATTCTTATTTTAAACCTGTTACCACAAAATCTAGTATGGCTCTTAATTCTGCCTGCCAGTCCTCTTACCCTCTCCTAATTGCTTATTTTCCCCCTCTGCAATAATATAATTTCCCACATTCCCTTTCTTCAAGTCTACATGCCTCTTTCACTCCTTTTCCCTCCCCATTCTCTTTCCTGGTAGTAGATCTCAGTTCTCTGAGAAAATAGAGGCCCTTAAACAAAGACTTATTATCTCCTCTTTCTGCAGATCTATTGAGCTGCCTTTGGCTATTCCTGTTTCCTCAGATTCCCATGGAGATGAGGTGACCCACATTGTCCCTTGTGCTCTGGGCCCTAATACCTCCAGATTTCTTAGTGACTGGCATTTTGCTCTATATTTTCTGTTTCTTATGATCTATGAGACCATCCCTTTCAGATCATTTTTATCAGCTTTTCGACATGGTATAGTATATCTTAACCTTAAAAAAGGCTCTTTCATTTTAATATGCCAAAGGCAGCATTTAATTAAATGTGAAAGGGATGTAGTTTGGCCCTTTATTGCAAAATGTATATTCTTATGGCAAGAGTAACACAGGAATTCCAGTTTCAAGCTTAAACAAAAATCGACACCTAAAAGGGAAAATAGAAGCCATAAAAACCTAAGAAGAAAGTTTAAGAAACTATTTATAGAACCTAGAATTTGGAAAGACCTTTCAATCAAAGCAGAACACCTTAAGAGCTTTAAAATAAATACTTTTAAAAATTCATCTATCCAAAAATTAATTTTATAGCAGAAGATGCCAAAACAAGTCAATAAATGCTAGATTAGCGAATTTTGTAATTCCTATAACATATAAAGGATTACTGCTACTACTAATGATACACATAAAAATCACAAATTACCCAATTAAAAAATGGACAAAAGATATAAACAGGCCATTCTGAAAAAGCAATTTCAAATAGACAATAGTCAATAAACATGAAAGACACTCAACCTTTTAATGAGGAAAATGAAAGTAAACTAAAAATGGATTATCACGTTACAGCATCAGATTGGCAACAATTAAAAAATTACATTTAATCCCATAGTTGGATGGGATTGAGGGAAAAGGGGATCCAGTCAGACAGCGGGGGACATTGGTCCCCCATTACCTTCACTGTAAAAGCCAAGGTGTTCACAGTGGTTTCCAAAGTTTTCTGTGGTCTGTCCTTTCCCCTGCCTCTTTGACCTCATAACTTCCTCATGCTTTTCATGGCTACCTCTTTCCTATTGTTGCTTGGACGCACACACAGCTGCTCCTGCCTTAGGGCCCTCACACTAGCTATTTTCTCTGCCAAGGCTATTCTTCCCTGTCTTATTCAAGTCTTTGTTCAAATGGAGGCCAACCGACCTTGGGCATCTCTACTTAAAGTTGCAACTGTTCTCCCTCTCTGTCCCCTAACATTCTGTACTCCATATCTCCCTTCCCCCGCTTTCTTTTTATTTTTAAAAATTATATTATACATAATTACATGCCATGTATCATCTTCCATGATCCGAAATAATTTAGTTATGTTACATTTATTGTCTCTTTCTCTACTTCTTCCATGTAGAATGTAAGTTCTAAAAGGGCACAGATCTTTGTTTTGCTCAGTAATATATTAGGCCAAGCATTAAAACAATGCCTGGCACCAATAGCTACCCAATAAACAATTTCCATATGAGTGAGTAAAAGAAAGAATGAATGGATGAGCGAATGAATGAAAGAATTAGTTTTAAGAGGAAAAAATTATGTTCTGTTGTAAAAAGTTATTGCCTTAATCTATTTTATATTTTAAAGGAAAAAAATAACTTACATTGCACTAGTCTGAAATCTTGATTTCAAATGAAGATATGATAAGACCCAGAAATACGCTTTTCTTTCGGGAGAGAATCTCTAAATGAAAAAATCATATGAGATCAGGCTTTATATGTACCATCAAAATCCTAATTAAATCAGCCCTAATCCAATCACAACTCTAATCCAGCTCTCTCCATCTCTTCTAATTGAATCACTGTCTCCAATTCTACTAAACTCTCATTCACCACATTATTAGCCCACAAAATGTGAACATTTTGCTTAAAAATGTTTATTTGTGGCTTTTAAATAGGAATACGAAAAAAACCAATGCCCACATGTCAGAAATTACATTTTAAAATAAAGTAATGTAAATAATGAAATCTACTTTAAATTTTTAACCTGAAAATGACACATTTTCTAATATGAAATGCTTTCTTTGATGTTTTGACAAGTGAGAATATAAAAATAAAGTAGCTAGCCCTCTACCAACAAAATCTTCATTTTTAAGTGAAGACATTCTAGGGCTTAGATCGTTTCCTGGAGACAGCCTCAAAATGAAATATCACTTG